TTTCTTCTAAATCTCAAAATCCTGACTTTTTCTTGAAAACCTTTTTTCTCTCAAAACGGATTTTTTTCTAAACCTTTCATTGCTACCTGAAATCAAAGTAAAAGCCAAAATGAAAAACGTAAGACACAAACAAAGCTGTCCAATGTTTAAATTGATAAACAAACCAGGCTAATTATCGTTTCATTATAAGTTTATTCTTCATGACCGTTTGTCTGTCCAACATCAGTTGTTTTAAATAAAGTAGTTTTCTACGTACGGTCCTCGGAGATGAATAAGAACATGCATAAAGTAGTAATAAATGAATAAATAACGTACGGTCCTCGAAGATGAATAAGAACATGCATAAAGTAGTAATAAATGAATAAATAACGTACGGTCCTCGAAGATGAGCCCCACGGTGGCGACGGCCTCGCGGCTCAGCAGCATGATCGGGTTTTCTCGGGATGTTTTGGGGAAAACCTGTGCCTGGCGGTTCGGGTCGAGCACGAGGCGGCGGCCCTCGTAATGCAGCTCCTGGTGGTGGAGCGGGATACTGCAGCGCCGAGACAACAGCTCCTGGAACAGCGCCGCCCTGAGGACGCACAGGGAACAGCAGCTCGGAACAAACATCACTTAAAGAGAACATCTCAGAATCAAGACTTTTCTTTCAAAATCTTATTTTCCCTTTTTATTCCCAAAGTTCTGAAATTCAGATTTTCTTTCTCAAAACTCAATATTTTTTGAAAAAATTCTCCAAATATCAACATTTTGATTTATTACAAAAAAAAAAAAAATTCCCTAAAAATCTCAGAATTCTGACTTTTTTCTAAAAAACTGATTATTTCCCCCAAAATTCTGACTTTTTATGAAAATCTCAAAATGAACCAAGGGAACAGCAGCTCTGAAGAAATATATATACTTTTTGCTAAGCTAAAAGGCAAGGCAAGTTTATTTAACAAAATCTGAAACTAATCGTTTTTTTCTGAAAATATTCGATTGCTTTCAAACCTCAAAATTCTGTCTTCTTTCTGCAACCCAGAATTTAGATTTTTTTTGTCAGAACTCTGATTTTCTGCTTTTTTTTAGATACGGTTTAATAATATAACGTACGTGTTGTACTGGTGGATGTAGATATGGTTTAATAATATAACGTACGTGTTGTACTGGTGGATGTAGCTATGGTTTAATAATATAACGTACGTGTTGTACCGGTGGATGTAGCTATGGTTTAATAATATAACGTACGTGTTGTACTGGTGGATGTAGATACGGTTTAATAATATAACGTACGTGTTGTACTGGTGGATGTAGCTATGGTTTAATAATATAACGTACGTGTTGTACTGGTGGATGTAGCTATGGTTTAATAATATAACGTACGTGTTGTACTGGTGGATGTAGATATGGTTTAATAATATAACGTACGTGTTGTACTGGTGGATGTAGATATGGTTTAATAATATAACGTACGTGTTGTACTGGTGGATGTAGATATGGTTTAATAATATAACGTACGTGTTGTACCGGTGGATGTAGCTATGGTTTAATAATATAACGTACGTGTTGTACCGGTGGATGTAGATATGGTTTAATAATATAACGTACGTGTTGTACCGGTGGATGTAGCTATGGTTTAATAATATAACGTACGTGTTGTACTGGTGGATGTAACTATGGTTTAATAATATAACGTACGTGTTGTACTGGTGGATGTAGCTATGGTTTAATAATATAACGTACGTGTTGTACTGGTGGATGTAGCTATGGTTTAATAATATAACGTACGTGTTGTACTGGTGGATGTAGCTATGGTGCAGCGTTGCTTGTTGAAGGCTGAACACGTTGACGATGGTTCGATGAAGGATATCGTTTGTTTCGGCGAAAAACTGATCGAATCCCCAACATTTCTCCTGATCCGCCTCCAGGATGTTGGCGAGCACCGGGGTCAAAAGGCTCTGAAGACCCCTGGAAACAAAATAATAAGAATATCAATTCAACATTTAATATCCAGGTAACATTTTTATAAATGTGTAACTTAAGGGTTAAAGTCTAAATGTGAAACGCAGACAGCAGAAGTGTTTCTGAAGTATGCAACGTGACGCAGAGGAACATTTAAACACATTTGAATGAGTGTTTGGTGAGATGTAGGAGTGTCTCTGACTTGGAGAGGCTGCAGGAGACGGGCATCTCGGTGTTCCACTCGATCTTCCCGTTCTCACTCTTCTGGTGACCGGAGATCGTTCCTGAAGGTTTCTCTGTGATGATTTTATACCTGAGACACAAACATACAGTCAGAAAACAGCCGCCGCCTCCCCCCTCCTCTTCCACCCCTCCCCCTCCTCCTCCTCCTCCTCCTCCTCTACTTTGATGCTCTTAACCTTTTACCATATTTTATTCAATTTGATAAATACCTTTTTATTTGATTCTATTTTCTCCTTATAGCTTTGTGAGATGACGTTGTTTTTTTAAAGTGTCCAAATGTATTATTATATACGGTATATATTAGTGATGTTTCCTCCTCTCTCATGGCCTCCTTGTTGAATAAAGTATATATATATATATGTTAGTGATGTTTCCTCCTCTCTCATGACCTCCTTGTTGAATAA